TATATATTATTTATATATCCATCCATTCTCAGAGAAGATATTACATCCATGAAACAAGAACACAATGTTCTTCAAAAGGAATAAGAATGGGGGGGCACCTGGGTGGCTCAGTCATTAAGCATCTGCCTTTGGCTCAGGTCATGATCCCCGCATCAGTTCTCTGCTCAGCGGGAAGCCTGCTTCTCCCTCTCCCACTCCCCCGCTTGTGTTCCTGCTCTCGCTATCTCTCTCTCTGTCAAATGAATAAATAAAAATCTTAAAAAAAAAAAAAAGGAATATGAATGGACTCTTCAGCATTAAAAATAGTAGAAATGAGGGCCGCCTGGGTGTCTCAGTTGGTTAAGCGTCCAACTCTTGATTTTGACTCAGGTCATGATCTCAGGATTGTGGGATCAAGCCCTGTGTCGGGCTCTGCACTGAGTGTGGAGCCTGCTTAAAATTCTCTCTCTCCCTCTCCTTCTGCAGTTTGCGCACTCTCTCAATAAATACATACATACATATATACATAAATAAATGGTAGAATGAAAAGCTCCATGAAAGGGCTGGAAGAGAAAGCTGAAGAAAACTCCCAGAAAATAGAGCACAGCTTAAAATGATGAAATGTTGGAGCGCCTGGGTGGCTCAGCTGTTAAGTGTCTGCCTTTGGCTCAGGTCATGGTTCCAGGGTCCTGAGATCAAGCCCCACATCAGGCTCCCTGCTCGGCGGGAAGCCTGCTTCTCCCTCTTCCACTCCCCCTGCTTGTGTTCCCTCTCTCGCTGTGTCTCTCTCTGTCAAATAAATATAATCTTTAAAAAAATAAAAAATAAAATTAAAAAATAAAATAAATAAATAAGGAGACACTACACCTACCCTTAGTTCTCTTCCCCACTTAGCTCTAAGAACCTGTCAGCCAGATTTATAACCTCCTGGCAGAAAGACCAGAAGATTCCTCTCTAGGAATCTGACAAGACCAGGACAAAAGACCTAAAGATACTGACAGCAAAGATTCCCCATGCAGATCGTTTTTCAGAAAAGGTCTCAGTCAACACACAGAGCTTTCAATCAGCCTTCTAGTGTCCACACTAAAAGTGATCACCACACAGCTGAGGAAGACCTTTAAAACAAGAGGCCAGGGCGCCTGGGTGGCTCAGTTGGTTAAGCGACTGCCTTCGGCTCAGGTCATGATCCTGGAGTCCCGGGATCGAGTCCCGCATCGGGCTCCCTGC